TGCCTAGAATTTGGGTGTCCAGAATTTTTCTTAATTTGGGTGAGTTTTGGCAAGAATTGTTATTAATGGGGCAACAGTGAGTTTTGGGAAGAATGTGAAATTTGGTGTGTTATTTGCACTTTTTAAAAAGTTTGGGTTATAGTTATAATTTATTCTTTATTTTTCTTTTTCTTTTGTGTTTGTTTTATTTTAATAGAAGTGTAAAATGGTCAAAAATAGACGAAAATGATGTTTTGCGCCAAAAATGTGAAAGGTAAGGACGTTCTGCGTCAAAAAATGAAAGGTGAGGATGTTTTGTACAAAACCATGCAAAGGTAAGGACGTTTTGCACCTATTACCCAATTATAAAGTATTGAATAATATGTACTCCATTATTAGATGCGTCATCGGGATTGCCATGTATTTATTTGAAATGTCATGGATCAAGATAATAGGGGTGTGTTTGGTAGAGATTAAAATCGAATTAAAATTGAAAAATTAGCCTTTATTGTTAACTTTTATTAGACGGGTGAGACCCAATAATAGCTATATTTTAGATATACAAATACTATGGGCACAAAGTGAGAATATTGAAAATTATAGGGGCATGAATGAAAGATTACTCTGCTTGTTCGTGTATCTTCAGCTTTAACTTTGAATTAAAAATGGTCACGCCAAGAGGGAGCGGGGTTGGGGGGAGAGAGATATCAAAGACCAAAATCATCGGCTGAGTTATCGTTTACTCTACTTGTAAGATCTTCGTTCTCTCTTCGCTTCCCTTGAGTGTGTCAATTTTCTCTTCTTAGAATTTTCAAATTAATAACTGGTCAATCTATAAATAGTTACGCTTAATCTGTAGTGTATTTAATTCATTCTTTGATGCAGGGATTATGAACACTTTGAATTAATCTTTTTTTTTTTTCATTAGAGCTAAAACCTCCCCTAAACGTTATATATAAACAATATTATTGCCTTCAATTTTTTCGATGAGAAATTTGGGGGTTATCGGATATTTTTGGATTTTGGAGATGGGCTTTGTTAATTTTTATGCTAAATGTAATTTTGGACAGCGTTTAATTTTGGAAAGATTTTGTGTGTAATTTTGTAGCTTGTGTGGAGATAATGTCAAAAGCAGATAATAGGAAGAAACCTGTTGAGAATGCAGGAACTTTGAAGTTTATGAATGACCTTGAAACTATAAGTAAAGCCCTATATTCGGATAAAACAAAGCCAAGGGGCTCAATTTCTACTGTTAGTAGTAGATCGAAGTCTGTGGGAAAATCACATTTGCTCGAACCCAAAACGAAGCTGAAGGATGCTAGCAAAAGCACTAAAGATTCACTTGACAAGGATAAGAAGTCCATTTGGAGTTGGAAGGGTATAAAGGCCCTGACCCATGTCAGAAACCGCAGGTTCAATTGTCGTTTCTCCGTCCAAATCCATTCCATAGAAGGGTTACCCGCATTTTTTGATGATGCTAGTCTTATCGTGCATTGGAAGAGGCGGGATGGTGAGTTAGTGACGTGCCCAGTTAGGGTTTGTAGAGGAGTAGCTGAGTTTGAGGAACAATTGTCTCATTCATGCTCTGTCTATGGTAGTAGGAGTGGTCCCCATCATTCTGCAAAATATGAGGCAAAGCATTTCTTATTGTATGCCTCAGTATATAATGCTCCCGAGCTTGATTTAGGTAAGCATCGGGTTGATTTGACAAGGTTGCTTCCTCTAACATTAGAGGAATTGGAGGAGGAGAAGAGCTCAGGTAAATGGACAACTAGTTTCCGGTTGTCAGGTAAAGCTAGAGGTGGGACTATCAATGTTAGTTTTGGTTATGCAGTAACTGGGAACAATAGCACCGAGTTTTCTAGCAACAACTATGTTTCCGCCCCCCGGGGCTTGCTGCAGAATAGTTCAAGTGCAACGAAACTCCTTGGACAATTCAATCAAATGAATGAGCTAAGTATTCAGCAAACAGGAAGCCTTCCTGCAAGATCTTCTACCTCAAATCTGTCTGCTGAAGATATGAAGGATCTTCACGAGGTATCGCCCATAACAAGGTCGGAACTGTCTGACTCGGTGAATACGCTATATCAAAAACTTGACGAAGAGATGTCAAATGCTTCAGTTAATTATAAACCAGAGACTCATCCTTTTCTGGAACCTGTCGAGCCTCTTAAATTAGATTCATCTATGCCACTTGAGCAAGAGATAGAAGAGTTCACAAAGGAACAAGTGGAATCAAAAGATGATAAGTCAAAGGCTGTTCGAGATTCTGTAGGAAAGAGTCTTGAAACCAACAGTGATGCTGAGCTACTGGTTGATCCATCGGTTGAGGAAGTTGGTTGTCAAAAAGATGAACCATCAGTAAGTGATTGCAATTTTATACAGAATGATGAGTGCACTAAAGAATCACTAATGAAAGAACTGAAGTTGGCATTGAGTGTCACTTCAGATTTGATGAAAGGATTAGATTCACAAGAAGATGAATGTGATATTTCAGACAAAGAATCTTATTCAGAGACTAAGTTAAAATACAGGAATCCTAGGAAGGGGAGATCACAGAGCTTGGATGATATTACTGAATCTGTTGCTAATGAATTCTTTGACATGCTGGGGATAGATCACAGTCCATTTGGCTTGAGTTCAGAAAGTGAGACCGAGTCCCCTAGAGAACGCCTATTGAGGCAATTTGAGAAGGATTGTCTTGCCAGCAGGAGTTCCTTATTGGACTTTGATGTTGAAAATGATAACGTAGAATTTATTACTCATGCTCCTACAGCTTCTGGGTGGGGAACCATCTCCGATGACTTTCATAACTCGGCAAAGGTACAAGACTATGAGGAGAGGCTTAAGATAGAAACTGAGGTAATGAGGACTAAAACAAGGGCCTCAACGTTGGAGGACTTGGAGACTGAAGCTTTAATGCTTGAGTGGGGCTTAAACGAGATGACTTTTCAACATTCTCCACCTAGCAGCTCGGGTGGATTGGGGAGTCCAATTGATGTACTTCCCCAGAATCCTCCGCAGCTGCCTCCCCTTGCAGAAGGTTTGGGTCCTTTTGTTCAGACTAAAAATGGAGGGTTTTTGCGCTCAATGAATCCTGTGCTTTTCGGGACCGCAAAAAACAGAGGGAGCTTAATTATGCAGGCATCAAGCCCAGTGGTGGTGCCTGCTGAAATGGGTTCTAGCATAATGGACATACTACAGGGTCTAGCCTCTGTTGGTGTTGAAAAGCTTTCAATGCAGGCAAATAGGTTGATGCCCCTGGAAGATATAACTGGGATAACAATGCAACAAATAGCATGGGAAGCTGTACCCAGTCTTGAGGGACCCGAGAGGTACGTTGTTACTGTTTAACATTGTCACCCATCCACTTTTATTTTTGTCTTTGTTTTAACATTTCTATGCAAATGAAAGTTTTATTCACTTGTTTATCCCTGTCGCAGGCCATCTTTCTCGCAGCATGAAAATGAAATTATGCAAAATGTGTCTGTTGAGCAAAAGATAGTAAAAGGAACAACCTTTGGTGCCAGATCACATAAGTTCGAATCAAATTCACTTGGCAGTGATACTGAATATGTATCCTTAGAAGATCTTGCTCCTTCAGCTATGGATAAGATAGAAGCTCTTTCAATTGAGGGTTTGAGAATACAATCTGGCATGTCGGACGAGGATGCACCTTCAAACATCAGCCCACAAAACATTGGTGAATTTTCAGCCCTCAAGGGAAAGACAGTCAATGCCAGTGGCTCCATAGGCCTCGATGGCACTGGTGGACTGCAACTTCTGGACGTTAAAGACAATGGTGAAGATATTGATGGATTGATGGGTCTGTCTCTAACACTTGATGAATGGATGAAGCTGGATTCTGGTGAAATTGACGATGGAGATCTCGTCAGTGAGCGAACTTCTAAAATACTAGCGGCCCATCATGCTACTTCTTTAGAGTTGTTTCGTGGAAGATCTAAGGGGGAGAAGAGACGGGGAAAGGGTAGAAAGTTTGGTTTGTTGGGTAACAACTTCACTGTCGCACTAATGGTACAATTGCGTGATCCCTTAAGGAACTATGAGCCAGTTGGTACCCCAATGCTCGCTCTTATTCAAGTCGAGAGAGTGTTTGTTGCACCGAAACCTAAAATCTACAGCACAATTCCAAAATTAAGAAAATGTGACGAAGAAGATCAAGAAGAAGAGCTGGAGACTTCTAAAAAGGAAGGCATGGTTGATGAGCCTAAAGAAGACAAAATCTTCGAAGAACTCATTCCTCAGTACAAGGTCACTGAGGTGCATGTTGCAGGTCTTAAGGCCGAGCCAGGAAAAAAGAAGTTATGGGGTTCGACTAATCAACAACAGTCCGGCTCCCGTTGGTTGCTCGCCAATGGAATGGGAAAGAAGAATAAGCATCCATTGATGAAGTCCAAGGCTGTTGTTAAATCTTCTGCACCAGCTTCTTCTTCTTCTTCCCCAGTGACAACTACAGTGAATCCTGGCGATACCTTGTGGAGCATCTCGTCTCGTGTTAATGGAAACGGGGCTAAATGGAAAGAACTTGCTGCCCTTAATCCTCATATTCGAAATCCAAACGTTATCTTCCCAAATGAAACCATCAGATTGCGCTAAGACTGCACTGTCTTTGTCAGATTGTATTTTTTTATTAGTAAGATTGTCGTATATGGGAAATTGGGTAATGGACAACGAGACAAAACTGGGTATCGAACTGTTGGAATTGGCTTTAAATCGAAGAAATGACTCTCGATTCAATTGAATGTAGTTTTGTATTTTTCTTGTATAATTTTTTTTTCTCAAGTATAAAGGATGGTTTTTCACAGAGGAGTGGATGCAGAAAAAAGGGTGTTTTGTTCATTCTCTTTCAAGTGCATGAGACAAACTTATAGAATATGGTCTCCTTTATATGGTCCCTCTCTGATTCACTTTTAAAATTCATTTTCAATCACATTTTATAAGATCCACAATTTTTATCATATTTTCAATCACACATTTTATCGATTTCAAAATTTATGAAGAATCTAAATTTTAGCCAAATCAAACACGAGCAAAATGTATGCAGTCGTGTCAATGGTAATAAAAATTAATGCTGCAATAAACTTGAGAAAAAAAAAATTGATGATATTTGCAGGATATAGAAATTTGGATATCGAAAAGCACCCTAATAAATTCATTTGAGTCCTTACAAACGATAAAAAAATGACCAGCTATTAATTTTTGACAACCAAGTACTCAATCTTATGAGTTGAAATTGTAACTCAAGGCCATTGATGCAGTTTATAGGCATATCAATATTGCCATTCAGTCTCTAAACAAAAATAAAGTTCAGAGACTAATTTGGAAACAAAAAAAAGATTGGTGACCAAAGTAAAACAATGCCACAAGCTAAGCTTAAAAAGAGTAAATGTCTATTTTCAAATATGCTTAGATAACCCACTTTTTAACTTACTAAAAAGGTGAAAGTAGCTCGTCTTACCGTCAAAACAAGTAACTTATCAAATATGTGCATACAACAAACATTTCATAGCCAAACAATACGAGGGATGATTACATCAACCGAAATTAGTTGTCGATTCAACACAAAAATGCAATGGTATGCAGGGGTAGACCCAAGGGGGGTCGGGGGGAGGTCCCCCAACTTTTGAATTTTTTTGTAAAGTTATGTTTGTTATCGATTGAAATCTAAATTTTAATCTAAATCAAAGTTAACAATTAATTCTAATAACATATTTCATATAATCCATAACTATTTAACTTTTATCAAAATTTACTAAAAATTTGATTTTAATCTCCACCAAACAGAAGCAAAATCACAATAAATTTGAATTTCGATAACATGCTAATTTTAAAAATTCTCCGATGATCGTACGCCAATCGAATCTACAAATTGCTCATATTATCTCAAAACTTATTTCGAGAACTACATTATGGGCATATNAAACTTATTTCGAGAACTACATTATAGGCATATCGAATAATCCAAACAGATATCGAAAATAGTTAAATGTGAGTCTTAAAGAAAGACGTCTAACTCGTATTAAAAAAAAAATCAATTATTTCATTAACATTATTATTTTTGCGATACAAATTTCTCAATATAATTTTCATCATTTTATTAGGAAATTTTATATGAAATATGACAACAAAAAATTTCGAAATTTTTTACATCTGAAAAAGTCATATCTCATGTAAATTTTTGGATGCAAAATCACATGGGGTATGATTTTTTTGGACGTAAATTTTCGACTGTAAAATTTCTCCCAACTTCTTTACAAGTTCGATTGTGCTCCCCTAACTTTAAACTTGTGCGTCCGCCCCTGATGGTATGCAATGACATATTAATCATTCAATAAGTAGGCTGTCGAAGTAGTGAAAAGTGAAACTCTCTTTATAAATTTAGAGCTTTAACTTAATCCTTTCCGACCATTTCAAAATATCAGAATGAACTTGATCTCCTCCTAAATCTTCTCCTGTTGCTCCTGCAGCTACTCTTAATGATATCTTCAATCAGGGCGAAGTTCGCCATTATATCTACATGAGCAACACTTTGGGTTCCCCTGCCCTCTAAAAGAGTAGCTGGAGATGGATGATTATACTCCCTTATGTAAGTACACATTCCTGAAGGATTGAATCGAGTCTTTCCTCGCCAACCTTTTGCGCACATAAAACCTGCACTAAGAACAGGGACCTTTCATCTCCATCTACAGAATATACTCCGCCTTTCAAACAAGTGCCATCATCTCCACCCTCAGCTGTCGTATCAATCTGAAAAGGTTATAGCATTCAGCTGCAGGACTAAACTTGTTGACATACGCTCGCTCAGTAGGGATTCCAACTCCATACATTGAAAACATTTCCATGTCTGGTGCCATTGGTAATCTGAGAAAAGAAAGCAGAATATAAATTCCTGTAAGACTAAAATACTACTCGGATATCTAAAACAAAGAACTTAGTGGTGTGGGGGAGGGAAAAAGCAATTGCTGAGTGTTACGAAATCATTGCTATCAGTCTCCTATGTTTTCTCCCCTTGTATATTTTATTTCCTCTTTTTATATATTTCCTTAGCTGTACATGATAAATTAGGATATCTAGAATCTTTCTTTCCTGTAATTAGTCATTCTTGTTCCTAAACTTTAGGATCAAGTCTGTATCTTGTAACTATTTAATCCCATTGTTGGAAGAGAATAAATATCAGTTTTAATTTCCTTTCATTCAACTCTTGTTCTCTACTGTACCAGTATTTTTTACTAATGTAAAAACTTTGGAAGGCATATAGAGAGCATATTCAGAAGTAGAGACAAAACCACCAAAATCATGTTCACGTTTTTACTTATTCCCTCACAGGAAGGGGATAGCAAGGGAGATAGAGACGAGATATATTTGTTCCCTATCATCTAGACCATCTAGCTAATTCAACAAAAAACTTATGTGTTCTCCATATCAATTTTGTATCAATATCACCAAATGGTGAATACTTCATCTTTCAAAGAAACATCAACCAGCCTATGAAGGTAATTTTCATTGAAAGAAATGTGACAGTTGAAAAAGAGGATATGTCGGGAGATGGGACAAAAGAAGTTCAGCGAGAACTTTGATAATTGGAATAGAAACTTACTTTGTTTCCAAGGCATATGACCAATATTTGTAATGGTCATATTTTTTATCATCCAGATCATCTGCAATCCCATGCGAAAAATGACATCACCACGCTTCATCATCTTCCAGGCAACAAAGTGAAGTAGATCCAAAATCGAACTAGCCGTATAAGCTTTATAATCTGCAACTGCTTTGACACCCCCAATACCCATATCATGGTACTCTGTCCATACGTCACGGCAGGTTCTGTTTGCAAGATTATTTCCCTTGATAGCACCCTATAGGTCACCCAAAAATAAACTAATGAATGAAGAAGCTGAAGCATGAATTTTCTAAAGATTCTTGAATGCAGTCATCAAAACTGGTTTACACATATTCTGTCAGGGAAAAAAGAAAGAATAAGAAGAAAAAGAAAAAGAGAAAGAGAAAACTTGCAGCCCATTTTTGATTTAAATACAGAATAAGCAATGCTGAAACTTCACTCTGTATGATAGCAAGGAGAAAATAGTAGTGGTAGAAGGTCTCTCCCTGCTACCCAGTTTTAGAATGAAATTTGGCTGATAACAATTTCAGACGCAATATGATACCTGGGCTAATAGTCAAAAGAATTTATTATTTAAGAAACGCAACCCAAAAGAAAAAAGGAGTGGTAGTGCTACCAACAATTTCACTTAGAAATGCACAAGTTTTTTGTCAACAAGAGACTGCAAACAGATCACGCTGCTAACAATTACAGTTAGAAAAAGATAATTTCTATTGGCAGGACAATTTGGAACACATAATTATGCTAACATATTTTGAGGAAACTGCATCGAGCCGCTCCCTATCGTGATATCAGCAGAAGAAAACATACAGAAAGATTAACTACAGATAGAATCATTACCATGGTTTTTAAATTGCACGAAAAGAGTAATTAAAGCCTATCCCTACCACCATTGCCCAGATATAACACATCCAAAACCCAATCCTCATCATGAATAATCAGTGACAACATGTCTGTTATTTACTGGAATGATTTACAAGAATTGAGTCTCCTCACAGCAGTCGTAAGTTTATTAAGCATCTGTTTGTTGCTCATTAGTAGAAGAAAAAAAACCGTTGGAACAGTGGCCTGCTACCATTTTTGGCCATTTGTATCTTGTTGGGACCCATCAATTTTGATAAAAAGGGTCCTATTTTTTTTAATTAATGGGGAAAGAAGTTGGAACAAACAGAGGCTAATATTCACCAAGATTAGCAGGGTTGACTTAAACGATACGTTTTGTGTAGATAGTTGTTTAGTCATGCAAGCATAATCGCACAGAAAATTATGTCCCAATTTAAAAAATAGATTATCACATTTAACACAAACCAGCATTTCATGGCAAAGCATGAAGATAAGCTTTACACCCATCTGTTCATTTGGAGTAGTCCAAGTCCTAGGTTCTTTATAGAGCACTTTCTCAGGGGTTCATAGAACGGATGGAGCCCATTTATGGTTTATTGGACCAAAAGATGGAAGGTCATTCTTGTTTTATATGTCGTCCTTTGGTCTCCATTACAATATCTTCTAATTTCATGGAGGAAATCTCATCCAACAAATATAGTAGTGCCCAAATCACTGCTAACAAAGCTTCAATTTAGATAAATGCTCTTTTTTTTATATATATATTTAAAAATACCTCTTTATTTAGGATATAAAAATAACAAACTAAGCCTTGTTCTCAATAAATTTGGCATCGGTTTGAATGAATCATTTTCTGCCACTTGGTTCGATTCATTGCCAAATCTAGTGGTAGATTCAAAGCAAATGGACCCTCAACAACCGCAATATGCCAAAGTTAGTTTTGGCTTACCTCTCCCTATTCTAACCCATTTTACTGACATCGAGTTACTCTAACAAGTAGGAGCTTCTTTAGGTCTGTTCAAAACATATCACAATTTATTGTCAACTGCTACCGCTTCCACTTTTTTAGTGTATATTCTTATATCTTAACTTTATCCTTTTCAGTATGGCCACACGCCCGTCTTAGCATCCTTATTTTCAATACGTTCATCTTATGAACATTTCGTACTTTTTAACTGCTCAGCATTGTGTCCTTTATGAGTTGAACAATGATTTTGTCCTATTTATTTGGGATAAAAATAAATAATTTACTGTTGCTGGTCTAGTAAGCCTGTCTATGCGCTTAGAGTGCAGCCTACTTGTTGAAGACTATAATGTAGGTAACTCGGTGCTTCATACAAGGAAAACGAAAGCAGAAACAGTTCAAATACTCCCACATGTTCAATGTTTTTTTAACGGTTTCCCCGGAGATCTTTATCATTAAAGAAACCTTCGTTTTGGATTCTCCTTCCCCTTCTATCTTCAGTACTAAAGTTGAATGAATTGCATATGTCCGAAATTTAGATCGAAAAATTATTGAGGTCTTGCAATTTCATGAATGCGGAGCCAACGAGTCCAATCGAACAATGTATATAGTAAATAGAAGTGGAAGAACCTTTTCTTTCATTTTAAACAACTCTAAATGAAATGAGCTACTCCAGAAGTATGCACAGTAATCGAAATTTGATGTATTCCCAGACAATAGCAAATCGAAATGTGTAAGTCCCTTTAGCGTAGAGATAGATGAGGACATTCTCCCTGGCAAGGGCATATCTACGACCATCTAGGGCTTAATGCTTAGGTTCACATTTCATAAGAGCAACTCTGGTTATTTTCGAGAAAAAATTGAATGGCGCGCGGAAAGGGAAATTATAAGAAAACAGTGCTAAAATTGTTAGTTGTCATATTTTAGTACAAAGTTACTACACGTAAAATAAGAAATAAGTGAGTTTTTAAGATTGGCCAAACATGCGCCATTCTTCTCCGCTTCGAGCCTTCGACGCATATTCCACAACAACTATGCCGCGTTTCAGTAGGATAAAGTAAAGTAAAATCTTTCAACGATCATTTATCCGTATTTCCTAATCCGTATTTTAATAATTGAAATATTAATTCAGATTTCAGAGATCTTCACGCAGAAATTAGAGATTTTTTTTTTGAGAGAGAGAGAGAAGCGAAAGAAACAGAAGTATTCGATCCATTGTTTGATTGTTTATTGGAAGTAATCCTTGGATCGTCATGAGTTTCCTATTCGGCAAGAAGAAGACTCCAGCAGGTATGTTTCTCTATATCTGTATATCAATTTTTATTTGTTTACTTCATCTACTGAATTGAATTTAATTTGACGGTTTGTGGACTCTATTATGGTTATTTACAAGAATTAAGGCAGTATAGATGCACATAGAAGCTTTTTTTTAATTTTGTGTATTTTTTATTTCTGAATGTTTTTATTTTTGTTCAAATAGAGGTTTGAGTAATCTGTTTATCAGTGGGTAAAGAAGATTTGGATTATGGGACGTTAATTTTGCTTTAAAATTTCTGACGTCGCAATATTATCAAATTTAGGGATTGTTTTTTCCTGTAAGAGAATTCTCTTTGTTGGGTCAAATGTTATCCTGTAAGATGTTTGTTGAGAGTTCACATTCATGTAGATTATGAAGAATGAATCAACGCTGAAGTAGATTTGATTTGATCGGACAATGAAGCACAATTTATAGTATTGAGTGGATGGTTTCTTTTGTGATGAAACGAGCTATCTTGTTGAGCAGCTATTGTATTTGCAAATATAAGTTTTTCTTAGTGATGATTGATGATCTGTTATCCTTTTCCTAGCTCAATAACATGTACCATATTGTCGCTGCAAATATTTTCTTTAATGTGATGGGTTTGGTGTCACCACAAACTTCATGTGGCATTTTACATGAACATTTTTGTTGTCTCTAATCTCAAGCTGGTATAAATTATAAAGAACATATAAGTAATCATGTTTGGGAAAATAACAAGAGTTCAATATAAGAAACAAAATTTCATTGAACGGGAAAGGTTTCTGCAGGATCTGCTTTAGCTACAAGTTCATTAAAAACGAAGAATGGTGAACATTCCATACTAGTATATATCTGACCAGTTTTTCTAAAGCAAGATGGCAAATGAATTTGTATCCCGTTTTTCCCACCCACTACCCTCATGTTTTTGCAAACCAATGTGGGGATGGCTTGGCCATTCTTAGTTATGACTTAATTCTTCTCTTTTGAAATTCACACATTCTGAATATAAACAGTTGGCTGGCATTGCTTTCTGTTTCCAATCTATTTGACTACATTAATTTTGATATTATGAATGAGTTGGCATATTAATTTTGATATTATCCTGATCATGATTGAGGCTAGATGGTATTATTTTGGAATGTATATATCATGATTAATTTCACTGATATTCTGGGTAAGCCACTTTCTCATTTGAAATTCTACACAATATTTTTCAGAGCTCCTGCGGGAGAATAAGAGGATGCTTGATAAATCCATCCGGGAAATTGAGAGGGAGAGACAAGGTTTACAAGCACAAGAAAAGAAACTGATTGTGGAGATTAAAAAAAGTGCAAAGCAAGGGCAGATGGTAAGTTATTTTCTCTAGATTATATGTCCTTGCTGATCCTTACATTGTATAACTATCACTTTCCTTCCTAGGTCCTATCTTTTCTTTTTTTAATGCCCAGGCCACTCCCATGAAGACATTTAGTTAAAATCTTTCTATCTTCACAAGATATTGTTACTTTGCTGCCATTTTTTGATTCCAACCTTTTAACTAAATCTTATGCTTTTGGGAAAGTTTACTTTAACTGAAGACAATCTCAATGATAACTAAATTAGGGAGGTAGGTTTGAGCCTACCTCCAAATATAACTAGCTTTTAGCCTAGTACTCAAAGGTAGGTTTGATTTCAAGTGGGTTTGTTTCAGGGAGCTGTCAAGGTGATGGCCAAAGATCTTATCAGGACGCGACATCAGGTAGAAAAATTTTACAAGCTCAAATCTCAACTTCAAGGCGTGTCCCTCAGAATCCAGGTATGTGTTGATGTGATTCTCTTTGTTCCCTTATATTGGGAAATCTGATGGCCACTTAAATTTGGATGTTTTCCAGGTGCCATAATGTTTTGTCTGCATCATTTAGAGGTTCACGTGCAGGATCATCTCTTCCATGAGTCACTTGAGTCCTTCTGCATTTATTTTTATTTTTTTTATTATTATTTTTTTATGAATTTGGTCTTTGATTTTAGAAGGTTTGAATTTGAGTATTTGGTCACAAACATAGGTCTTGCTAGTGACTGGGCTTCGGACAATTATCAACACATGGTTACATAAGTTTGAGAGTTATTGGATCAGTACCAAAAGTCATGGGGATAACATCCCGTAAACTATGTCATAGTTCTTCATCTGACTATATGCTGGCCATGATTCTGCTTTTAATTCCTTTTGGACCAAAATTTGATAATTTTCTATTCATAATTCGGCAGAAGGATTGATGATAAGAGATTAAATTTGTTGTGCAGCGTTATGTCTGACTAGTGATTAATTTTCCATACCAACATTTTGCGTCTTAAGTTGCCCCTTTTTTGTTGTTTCATTAACTACAGTTGCACTTTTCAGACATTGAAATCTACTCAAGCAATGGGGGAGGCAATGAAAGGTGTCACGAAGGCGATGGGCCAAATGAACAGGCAGATGAATTTACCAAACTTGCAGAAAATAATGCAAGAATTTGAGAGGCAGAATGAGAAGATGGAACTTACTAGTGAAGTCATGGGAGATGCCATTGATGATGCTTTGGAAGGAGATGAGGAAGAAGAAGAGACAGAAGAGTTGGTGAATCAAGTTCTCGATGAGATTGGAATTGACATTAATTCTGAGGTATATTTTTCCACTCTTGATTATCCATTTATAAACTTGAATGCATCATGGTTCTCTTCAACAAGCTGATGAATTCATTCTCCAATTAATGCAGCTTGTTAATGCACCCTCATCTGCCGTAGCTGCCCCAGCTGCAAAGAATAAGGTTCAACAAGCTGAAGCAACAGGAAATGATGATGGTGGGATAGACAGTGACCTGCAATCCAGGTTAGACAATCTGAGGAAGATGTAGCTACTTGTAAAATAGAAATAATCTAGTACAAAAGCATTATATGTGGCTTGTAACATTGTGAAGATCCTATTACTCGTGATTTTCTGTACGTCTCAATATGAGTACAATTAATGGCTCTTTTACCCTTTTTAGTGTCTTAAACATGAACTAACTTACATGTAAAATGGGGAATTATATTTGTCTTGTCAGTAGTATGGTTTGAAACTCCAAGAGGTGCTATCTATCTTTCACTTACCGTGCTTACCTTGTCAGTGCCTACATGTTTGGTAGATGTGCAGGTTTTTCTCATGGGCTTCGTGTATGTTGCAGATATAGTTTCAGATAACAAAGTTTTCCCCTCTTTAATAGCTTAATCTTTTAGATGGATAATTCAATGCGGTATAAGGTGAATATGCACCAAGTTCATTCTCTTGCCACTATGTGAAAATTGTGCAAGTGAGGTCTTTCATTGAAAAATTTATAATTTAAGTAAATAAATGTGTTCTCTTTAAGTCTAAGCTTTTAGGTAAGATGATTCAATAGTGTGCATATGGAGGCATGTTATATATAGGCAGAGGCAGGTGTATGCAGTCTCTAGTCTCTGATTGTAGTTGATATGCATGGAATTTTGGAATCCTTATTCAGGTCAAGGGCCGTGATCTGTTATTTATCACATGCAAGCATAAAATACAAAATCTTTTGATTATGGTACAAGAATGATAAACTAAGCCTTGTTTTAGAGTCGGCTACGTAGTTCTCTTTTAGCCTCTCCATTAGGTTAATATCACCATGGAATATAAAAATAAACTAAATCATAGTAATTTCAACTGCCAAAGTTGCATTATTATTGGCCAAAAAGTTGGTAACCTTTCTTTTCAATCCCCTTAGATTTTCTCTTCAAACTACTGAGGAATTAAGAGAACAGTACCATGACTTGCTTTCTCAACCGTTCCATTGTTTTTTCTTCATTCTTTATGCTGAAATCAACGTTGACCTTTTAACCTGATATATTCTCCAATACAAGATGTACAGTAATTTGATACCCTCTATGTCAAATTATCGTTAAAGAATATCAATTTATCCTCATCTCTTCAATTCATAACAGGCCCACATACAGCTATAACATGCATTATGCACATGAGATGTAGCATTTTACATTTGACGTAATGTGAAAAAAAACAAAAAAAAAAAAAACCCTATACTATGCCTGCTTGTAGCAATCCTTCACGTGAATATTCTGATGGAGAGCCGGGAATATTCCGATGAGGAACAGTTCTCTCAACCAGGGAACGACAAAGTGGACAGTCGGAGTGAGAGTAGAGGCAGATATCTATGCAAGGTGCATGAAAAGAATGCTGGCATCGGGGCAGCTTTCTTACATCTTCACCTTCTTCAAATACCGATTAGCAAACCGCACATTCATAATTGTTACCTTGATCTTTATCTTGTTCTAGTCCATGTTTCCTGTACTTGAAGCTTGTCATTGAGTTTATCCTAGGGTCACCGAAACTTGAGGTAAAGCCATGAATTGTTCCTTGTCTTGGCCTGCTGTTGGAGTAACCTGTGAACCATTTTCTTTTGATGAGGTTGTACACTACAAGAACAATTGCAGCTGTCCCGATGATGAAAACGCCATAATACAACACGGGCAAATTTGATTTTGGTAGTGGTGGTGGTTGCATATAGGGGCTTAGAGACTCCCATGGTGTGGTTTTTTTTATGGAAATGGCAGAGTTCAATTAGAGGTTTAGGTTTCGTATAATAGCAAAGAAGGCATCTATCAAATTATAATTTTATAGTAAATAAAATTTGTAAGTAATATGTGGATTTATCTCAATATGAAAAGAGGACAAAACTTTAATAATACAAAGCCTTTCTTGAGCAAATTACTCAGTTGGCCTCGTAGGGCAAAATACATACGAACCAATATACATATTTTTATACAAAGTGGTGATCTCCCCTGTACCCGATGGGGTTACTAATAGTTTGTTCGCGATGAGTTGTTTAGACAAATTGGTCAATTTTTAATGTATTTTAGAATATTTTGCCAATTTCTGCTCAAACGACAAACCAAGTACCAAATTACTCGAATTTGGTCCGTCATATCTTGATTGGAAATTAGCTCGATAAGAAACTTTGGGAACAATTCTAACACTCTTATCAACTAATTAACTTATATTTGAACTGTTTACTGCTCAATTTAGTTAAGACATACCCTATCCTAGAGCTGCAGTGCAATGGGCTTTATTCGTCCTCACACTGCCCGACCAACTTATAGGAACGGCCGATCTAGTCGATAAGCAGCAGAGGACACGTCGGCCAGTATCACGGATCATATGTAACTACTGTCCGAAACTATTTGGCCACAGAGGCCGGTCCGAATGTGCCGAAGAAAGGTCCTAGAACCTTGGTTCACAACAACACTTCCTAAAATCCAGACCAACATATCCAAGTGTCATGATATGGATCTTGGTCTAATGTAGACTTACTGGTAATTGCAATGAAGATAACCTTATCCACCAGAACCAAGAGGAGAAACTGCCACGTAGGACATAGAGTATGATACTCTTAATTTTCGACCTCTCAATTCCAATGGTTTTTCCACATACCTCCATCAAAGTCTACATAGAAGATAACTGCCACGTAGGACATAGAGTATGATACTCTTAATTTTCGACCTCTCAATTCCAATGGTTTTTCCACATATCTCCATCAAAGTCTCATTCTGCTCTCTAAAACATTCATAGCAAGAGCAATTTCATTTTAACGCTAGAGGAAGAAACTTACCCGAGTAAGAGAAACTGAAGAGCGAAGAATGGCATCCACTTCTGCAGTATCCATGGCGTTGCCGTTTGCTCGGACAACCCAAAAGCAGCAACCTAGTCCGGATTCTTTCTTCAAGCCATTACCTGTGAGGCAATCAAAGGCAATTGCAGCATCAAAACCTGTTGGAAGATTTGAAGTTAAGGCTTCACTGAAGGAGAAGGCAATCACCGGATTGACAGCGGCTGCATTGACTGCTTCAATGATCATTCCTGATGGAGCTGAGGCTGCTGTATCTGGTGTTTCACCCTCCCTCAAGAACTTCTTGCTCAGTATTGTATCCGGAGGAATCGTTCTTGGTGCAATTCTTGGGGCTATTATTGGTGTTTCCAACTTTGATCCTGTGAAGCGAACCTGAAAAATGATGTCATCTATGTTTCCATATTCCCAGTGTATCTATTATCGAATGTATTCATAACTTATGCTTAATAGTAAAAATTTCATTCCATCAATTCTTATTGTGCCAGTTAAATCACAAGACCAAAATATGAAGTCCACATGCACGACAGATTTGCAGGCAAGCATCAGCACTCTTCTGATCAGGTTATTCACCTGCAGAAAAACGCTGAAATTTACCCGATTCCTTTTATATATCAAGAAACAAAGTAATAGAATAACTTTGAGGGAAACTTTAATAAAAGATTTACAGCTTATGCAGAAGATCGTGTTTATATTACTGAATATCGACCGCATCCACACTAGAGCGGAAGTTCTGAATTACGTACAGTTCCTTGGTGATACAAATCATATGATCATCTACAACAAATTTGACGTTGTTTCTCGACTATAAAGGTCAATATTCACTAAAGAATAAATGCTAACATACAAGGAATCAGCATGCTTCCACGCTTCAATGGGAGTGAAATTTCGGAATCAAGTCGAGCATTAATCTACTCTCGACTGAATAGTTCGCTTTATCTGCCTTGACAACAGTCATCTTCACCCTCTGTTCATCACCATAAATCTCCTCTTTGATTTTAAGCCTAAAAAGAAAACTCGATAAAAAGACAATTCCTTATTATTTGGGCAAAACTGTGATCGTCTCACTCTTCATATTTTATCAAGTACAACTCCTTCGCTGAACAGCCTAAGATTTCTTCCTCGGATTCCTGAAATGCAGTCACCCATGTTAAACCAGTATGATCCTGTATCTGAACTTGAAGAAGATATCTGTAACTACACTCTTCAAATTCTTGATAGCACCTGTCACAAAGCCATCTTGAGTTCCCTGACTTCACTTTCTTATTGCACTGTCTATCACCGAACATTAATGGACAAGCTGTATAACAGAAAGTGTCTGTCTTGATAAAGATATAGTTCCCTTCACTGTTACCCAGTCCGGCTTATCAGACCTTCCAAGCCCTTCACCCTTGATTTGCACAACGGTTTTTTTATGAATCTCATTTTTGGATCCTCCAGGCATAACGTCCCTTGATATTGACCAGGAAGTAACATCGTTGCCTCCTCATTCAAACCAATCTCTTAAGGCGAGAGCTTCTGGATATTAGGGATTTATGAAGAGCTGGGTAGAAGATATTGTTCCTATGGACTTCCCACAGAAGTCACTTATTTTTTCCAGCTTTAACAGCTAAAAAGGGGAAGCTTCTACCATTTCTTGAAGTTGTTGACCTTCCCTGTTGCAAAAATCCCCCCATAGAGCTAACTCAACACTTCGTCCAGATTAATCTTTCAAATTCAGTTCTCTCCTCTGAGTTTCCATTCCATTCTTTCTCAAGATAGAGACACAAGGGTTCACAGTAACTACAATACAAATTATATCAAGGATTGGATTATTTTCAGTATGTTAAATTTCACCTATAGGCCTAAATGAGAACTGCTGCTTTGGTATGGAAGCATCTTCATCTGGACAAAGATCCAATAGTAATGATGCCTCCAAAAAAATTTCCCATTCATACTTCAGATGGTCGAAGTTCTTCTGGGCAGGTTTTAGGCAACCTTTTGAATCATTTGGACTTTCCCGACTTCAATGATATAAAAAAAAGCGATCAACCATGAAATTGAAGCATGTAACCCGGAATTCTCCTCCATCTGAGTCGAGGAGGTCAAAGGAGAACACCTTCCCATCTCCTCTCGCATTGTCGTAGCGACGAAGATCTCCTTTTGCTGTCACTCTTGCCTTGATAGCCCATCAACACCATGATAAGGATTCAATGCAGCAATGGGGATGATGCACGCTGGGGCCTCATTTTCATTATTGCCCCATGGTTTTTGTAACTAGGAGGCGGTTGGTAAGGTTAAACCATTAAAAATGCACACTGCAGAAAACAAAATGTCCCATGATATTTTACATAGAGAAATGAAATCCACATTCCCTTGCACACAAAATATGTAAATCATCAACATGCACACTACACAAAATTCAAATGACAATTTATTTACAGAACAATTAAAAGATCTTCAAGTTCTGTTTTTGCAAAGACATAGATGAACATCGGGTTAATTATTTGAATGGTCAACTATACCAAATGCTACTACTTAATAACTGGACTTAAAAATGTATCCTAATGTCACTTAAGTATGCACTGTGTTTCCCATCCATCACTCAAGTGAGAAAATCCGTTGGGTTCAACAAGCAGCGTCAACTTGAGCAATGGAACGATACATAATTAAGTGACAATTCAGATACAATTTTAAGTTCAATCATTAAGTAGTAACAATTGGTAAGTTCAGCAACCGTTAAAATACAATATACAATTTTAAGTTCGGTTATTAAGAAGTAACAATTTCTTCTACCATATAAAGGGAAAAAAAGAGGGAAATAAAGATCAGAGACCTGTAAATCGAAGAAAATTAGAACTTTTCGAAATTGAGCAACTTACATTTCTGCAAAAGATCAATTCTGTGATGCCCAATTCTGAACTTAGACATTTGGTATAGTTAAGTGACTATTGAGATATATTTTGAAGTTCACTTATGAGGAGTAGCACTCGGTATAGTTAAGTGATCATTCAAATAATTAACCCAATAAACATCTAGAAAACTAATTTAGTAGGTGTAAGAGCGCATTACTTGCTATTCTGGACACTGCTGCAGATGAATTCGATGAGCTGAACAACGGATCCTTTATGGACGCGGCCGGACTTGACTCGGTCATTGAGCTGAGTCGCGAGCATCACGTGATGCGTCCACACCAAGTCAGATTTGAGGAATCGATAGCGTTCTTGAGTGGAGCCCATGAGCTTGATGTAAATTGCGCGTTATTATAAAATATTTTTATAAATGTTGTAATGGTAATATTTGATATCATTTTGTTAATAGGATATGATAAGTTTCAAACAAATTAAAGGAAATAAAATTTAGGATAAAAATTTAAGAAAAGAAAATCGTGTTCTCAAAATTCAACTTCTATTGTTCATAATTTTTTGTGATGATGAAATACTACAAATGAACAACTTTTTTATACTACATTTGGTACATAAGTATTAATTTTTAATACATGAATTTAAACACCTATTAAAATTCATAGATACATGAATAAAAATAAATTCATCTGTAATAACTCTATATTCATATAGATTGAGATTCATCAAGTCAAGATTTATTGAATCTAGATTAACGTAAATTTTAATTAATTGAGAATTAATAATATGAAATTCATACATGACAATAATTTTGTAAGAATTAATTGCTAATACATGAAATTAAACACCAATTAAAATTTTTAGATACATGAATAGAAATAAATTCATTTATAATATCTCTAGAATCATGTAGATGAAGATTCATCAATCAAGATTCATTGAGTCTAGATTAATGTGAATTCTAATTAATTAAGAATTAATAACATGAAATTCATACATAACCCTCGTCCACCACCTGCCCAAAACCCTGTATGCTTCGTGACCCTCGTCATTCAATTTCATATAACGTTTCACAATGTCCACCCAATTTTATATAACATTTCACCATAATCACAAAACTTCTTTTTACCATTTTCATTAATTTTTACAAGGGGTAAAACGGTAACTTTGTATCATATATATATATAATAGATTTTTTTTAAAAAATTAAATTTGAAATTTATTTTTAAAAAAATAAAATAAAACTATTTTTTTAGAAAAAAAAAAGGATACTTAGAAAAATAAAATAAAATAAAAACATATTTTTTTTAAAAAAAAAACCTTTTTAAAATAAAATGAAAACTTATTTTTTTAAAAAAAATTACTTAGAAAAATATAATAGAATAAAAAATTATTTTAAAAAAGGTTCTTTAAAAAAATAAAATAAAATAAAAATTTATTTTAAAATATGCATTTTTAAAATAAAAAAATTATTTTTTAAATTTATTATATATATGTAATACAAAGTTACTGTTTTACTCATTTCAAAATTAGTGAAAATTGTGAAAATAAATTGAGTGGCTATGGTAAAATGTTATATGAAATTATGTAGCCATGTTGGAACGTTATATGTAATTGAATGATCATGGTGAAATAAAATTAAATTAGATGATTATAATGACACTAAATATAAAATTAGGTGATCATTGGTGAGTTTAATATGTGGAAAAATGGAAGGGAAATGAAATTGGAAGTGATAAGACGGATTGGGAACCACTACTAAAGAGTCAAATTACATAGTGCTCCTCAAAGTATGTGAGACTTTTTCTATGTGATTTTATTGTTTTAAATAAAAAGTAATTATATTAAGCCCTTGTTTGGTACACATTAAAATTCATTCGCATTCTTCTACTCATTTTCAACCACACATTCTTCAATAAAATAATATTTTTCATCACATCAATAATTTTTCCTTCTTTTTCAACCACACATTCTCTATCAATTTACTATTCCAGAATACATTCTTCCAAAATAATGTGGCTCAAACACAAACTCCTGTTTTGTGTAAANTTTTTTCAATCACACATTTTTCAATAAAATAATGTTACGCGCAAACTCAAAACTTGTGCTTATTATTTAAATATACATTTTAAATCAATCTATTATTCCAAAATATATTCTACACAAAAAATGTAGCTCAAATAAACTCAATTTTTATCATAATTTACTAAAAACTTGATTTTTTAACTATACCAAATATGAATTGAAATATCATTTTAAGTTCACTTGACATGGTACCAATAGAAAAATTAATGGATTGTGTAATATCAATGAATCCCAAAATCACGAGGACTCAATAGTATGATCATAGAGTAATGCTATTCAACCTCACTGGGATTACAAACACATTCTAGATGGCTTAATTTCATCTATCATTTAATGCCACATTAACGCCACCTAAAATGTATTTGTAACCCCACTGAAGATGAATAACATTACTCATGATTATATGCCCAAATTTTAGATTGTACTAGACTTGACATGAGCAATCAAAACATGTCTTGTTAGTTCAATAAAATTTACTTTACGATCTTGCTATTAACTCATCGAGTAAAGATATTGGCTCCAATGATTCTATATTTAGAAACGATAATCTAAATCATCACACTTCGATAAAATACTACTACAACATTTCAACTTATCCCTGCCTGATATAATCCTATTAGTCCACATCATGGATTCCACCAGTAGTGTAGCCATGAAGTAAATTTGCGTTTTCTGTTTGGATACTAGAGCTTGGGCTTGAATTTTAGATATAAGTACAAAATAAATAAAATTGTTCAAGTAGTTAATAACACAAAAACAACAAATGTACTTCACCAGTAGTGAGTTTAATTAAAATCCATTGTAAACGCTGAACAAAACTTGTTGAAGTGCCCGAGCGCATGTTTCTACAGAACTCATCTCTAAAAAAGATCAGCCAAAAGAAATCCAGATATGTTTAAAAAAATTGATCTAAAAGAACATTTCAAACAGATGATCTACATTCCTCCTGCTGCCACTTCAATTTCAGTTGCCGCCGGTGCCGTAGCTGGCCTAATGTATTCTTCTTCCTTTGGAGGATGAATTGTGACTTGATCGGGAAGAGGAGTCATTGGACCCTGCTTTCCCTTGGGGTCCCAATCAAGCATGATCTTCACTTTAATTCCAAGTACTCCCTGAATAAAGAATGTGTGGAACAGAATTCTGAATCACGCTGCTTCTATGTAAACAAAAAAAGCAAGATAGTGAAACAAACCTGTCTAAGGAGAACATGTCTGACAGCAGAGTCAATGTACTCTTTCACCGGCTGACCAGAAGATATCATATAGCCATCTTTGAACTTCATTGATTTGGCGCGCTGAGCCCTCAGCTTTCCACTTACAATGACCTATTTTAAATAGAGAATAAGCAATTACATTAGTGTTTAGACTCAACCTAATGAATCAAAATCAAGAACCATTTTCGAGGAGCATACCTCGCAACCCTTAGCTCCATTCTCGATAATATATCTCAAAACACCATAGCAGGCCCTGAGGAAAGCCAATATAATATGAGAAACTGAAGTTAATGGAGGTTTCCA